TAGATATCAATGATTGATATGCAGCAGTGTCTGTTTTTCAGGGTTTTGTTTCATAACTACTGCAGTAAGGTTTACTGTCTAAGTGAGTTTATGTTTGCTGTAAAATGTTTGATTTGCTGTATTTCCCCAGTTGCACAATGCTGTGAACAGTTTCAATTAAATATTATCAAGAGTGCATATGAAGTGTCTTGATTTTCCTTTACAATTTATGGTTTTCAACATGCCATGGATGCTGTCCAGACTTGACATGTCATTGGGGAGCACCTACAAAGAAATCTGTCACAATGAGAACATGTTCAAACCATTTGATTTTGTGACCAAAGGTGCTGGTGTAATGACTTGTAATTGTGACAGCCCTGACACTTTGATATAAGTACTTGCTTTTGATGAATATATTATCTGTTTTGATTAAGGGACTTGCTTTTGAAGCATTGACTACTTATTTTGAACAACTGACTTTTCTTTTTGATGGAGTGACTCACTTTTGCAAGTTATCCACCATGTTTTGCAGTTTGCACTAATTGTTTTGAGAAGAGCCTTAGTAGTGGTGCAGAGATCAATTCTGTTGTGAGAAATGCACCAAAGCAACTGAGAAAAACTGTATATGAATGTGTGCAGTGTTTCCCTGGCTTCCAGCTCCAGTACACGCTTTAGAGAGAGACAGAAATGCAATGTCACAATATGCCTGTGTACAGTAACAAACAGTAATGCATGCATTTGGTAAAACACATTGTAGAGTATGTGCTGTGGAATTGCAAGTGTACTGCATGAAACTACGAAGTACTGTAAAACAGTTTGCAGTGCAGAACATAGAAGACCAGCTTTACCTGCACATACTGGTGACGGATCTCCTTCACCCTGTCACTGTTTCGTTCAAATGGCACTTTATACAATTGCTTCATGTGGATTTCATTTTTCTTGAGTACTCTCTCAATTGTTGAAATTGAAACAGATTCAATATTGCCAAATACCGTGTAATTCTCTATGACAGCGCTTTGTATTTCTCTCAGCTTTATTGCATTGTTTGCAATGACCATTGCACAAATGGCTTCTTCTTGCTGTGGGGTAAAAAGGGGCCCTCTTCCGCCTCCACGAGGTTGTCTTACAATCCTATGTGGTGCAGAGTGAACTTCTTGTGAAATTGCAAATACAGTACAGTAACATGTGATGTGTCTGAGATGGCACAGTACAGTACAGTGTATTACTGTTTGCATACCTGTTTTCCCTACGGAATGTTTGAATGATTGAACTGACAGTAGTTCTTCCAATATTGGGTTGCACCCTTCGACCAGCCTCCTCCATGGTGAGGCCGTGATTGACAACATGGTCCACAATTGTAGCCCTTATTTCATTAGGAATCCGCCTATATCTGCCTCTTCTCCCTCTTCCCCCTTCCCCTTCCTCCCCGCATCCTCACCCCTCTTCCACGGTGCTGACCTTCCATTTTGTGTCACAGAAGTGTAGAAATGGTACACACTAGCTCCTGCGCAGTTTATATATGCTTGCCAATTGGGGATTCACAGGATTCATCCATAATTGACAGTGAACAAGTTGTTTGTCATTGGTTACAACTAAACTTTCACACGCCTCCTCATGAGTGACAGCTGTAATTCACCTGAGATCAACTGTTCAATTTCGGAGACATTTCCAGGAACAATGATACAGAAAGGTATAGGATTTGCTTGACAGATGGCCAATATTTGGCATGTGATAACTAGTTCAACAATTTTGTGTGTGATGACTCAAGCAATGGATGTATGGCTATTAGTTTTATTGGGAACGACTATTCAGCATCCATAGGTATGATTACTTTTGACTGACATGACATAAGCAAATGGAAATGTCAGAAAGCAGCAGGGAAATGTATGGAAGCAACTGATTCATGTCCAAAATCATTTGCAGTTTGTTCAGAGAGAGGAGAAATTGCTACTATGATGTGCACAAATGACTTAGTGTTGTGGAGGTTGAACTAATAGTTATGAGAATTTCAATTCTGATCTGAGAAACGCACCAAAGCGACTGAGAAAAACTGTATTATAAATGTTACAATCATTCCACTGGTGTCATTTCAATTGCAATGTAAAAAAAAAATGGGTGTAATATTGTTGCACAAATAGAAATTTGTCTCATTTGAATGTCGTGCTTTGTATCTGTTCACCTCCTTGTTTGTGTGGTCCTCACACTTGTAACTAGGGCTGCCACAAACGATTATTTTCATAGTCGACTAGTCACCGATTATTTTTGCAATTAGTCGACTAATCAGATCATGCATCCGTACAGCTTATTGCACCAGCACGCATCTGCTCTTATATAACTATCTTTAGCTTACAGCTTTAAGTGTTTAAGGTATGTGCTAACTAAAGATAAAGACAAGATGATAGTTTATTAAATTTTAATGAAATCTGCAGATTGTTTCGGTGAGGTTTAATAAACTCCTTGCTATCTATAATATAACGGGAAACCGGAGTATATTCTTGAGCATCTCACACTTCTCATAATCAGCTGTCTGCTTGACGTTTATTCAGCTGTGTAAAAACTATAACTTTAATCTCAGCCAAACCGATTTACTCAGGAACCAAGAAAATACTGAAAAAGGCCAAACAATAACATTTTAAGTTATCTAAGTGACTTATATATGTTTAACCTGAGTAGCGAAAGACGGCGGTGGGTTTGAAAACGATTTGCCGGGAGTCCGGTGTTCTCACGGACTCTAGTGAGCCTTGAACCCCAGTTAGCTATCGAGCTGGTGGGTAACAGACACCGCCGAAAACATCAGAGTGCTTTTGAATATGTGGTGTCTTGATAAACTGTGCAAATATTTAAGGTTTACACTAGAGATGGACCGATCCGATATTACGTATCGGTATCGGTCCAATACTGACGTAAATTACTGGATTGGAGAGAAATAAAAAATGTAATCCGATCCATTAAATATCAAAAAAGCACCTCACAAACATGGCGACATGGCGTAACTCAGCTCATAACCATAGCACATATGCGTCACGTGATAGAGCGGCTGTGTGTATTTGTCGCCTCGCTACCAATCCGGCATTTCATCTCCGAGGAAGTGATCCCAGAGAGAAGTAAAGCAAGTGTGTAAGTTCATCTCTGAATGTTTGTAAAGCATTTCCACGTTAAGCTTAACAACCGATATATGGAGCGACTGCCTCTCCCTCTCCTGCTGCTACTTCAATCGTGATACTGATCAATGATCAGCTGATCGGCTTTTGTTTATCGCCCACTTCGCGCCAGAAAGAGGAAACCAGCAGCTGAACAACAGCAGCACGTTTAAGCTTGATAAGCTGTTGTTAGAATTTATTTAATATTACTTTCTAGACCAGGATCTTTTTCTATGTAGCTGACGCTGGTAACTGTGCAGGGGCGGATCTAGCAAAGTTTAGCAAGGGGGGCCGATAAGGCATGAACAGGGAAAAGGGGGCACAAAGACATACTTTCCTTTCTTATTCTCATTTAAATTCATATCGGTATCGGCAGATATCTAAATTTATGATATTGGTATCGGTATCGGACATAAAAAAGTGGTATCGTGCCATCTCTAGTTTACACAGCTACATTCTCGCCTGAAAATATGTTAAACGTTTATTTTGTGACCCAGAAAGAATAATAAGAGTAATATTAAAACTAACTAGCTGCCGCCATTGTTGGAAACTGAGCAGGGCTGCGCTGGGCTGCACCACGAATTCTGGGACACAGTCCCTTCTTCTTCTTCAGGGTTTAACGGCAGCTGGCATCCTTGTACATGCAGTGCTGCCATCTCCTGTTTCAGTCCGTTATTACACTCTTAAATCCTACTACTTATTCCTGCGTCTTTTGGGATGTTACAAAGTTTCAAACGATGCGTCGACTATTAAATTAGTTGTCGACGATTTTGATAGTCGACATAATCGTGACTAGTCGACTAATCGTGGCAGCCCTAGTTGTAACCTACTTCTTTAGAGTGAGATGAGCTTCGAACAGGACTGCCTGATGAAAGGAGGCTGTCTGGGTCAAATGCACAATGGCATACACTACAAAGAGGTCCGACAGTTTCAGTCCAGAATGACAAAGTAACCATTCCTCTGAATGATGGACTGACATGTGCTGTGGATCAGGTTCAACATGTGTATCACTTTATATATATATATATATAATTATATATAATGACAAGCTTTGATACCATTAAGCTGTATTTGAACCCAAGGTACACCGTTGTATACCTTGGATGCTATATTCGGCGAAATGTAAATGTTTTTTTGTTTGCACACAACTGCATATTTGTTAAATGTTGACAATTTGTTGAAGATGACAACTGTTACCTTTAAAAAAAAACTGCATTCATGTATTGTCTGGACATGATTATTTCAGAATATATATGATAACTGCATTATTTCAAAGGTTTATTTTTGACATTTTAATAATCTAGAGAGCTAGAACGTTAGCCACATATTAATGAGTCTGTCGAATAGAAATTGTTTTGATATATAAATTTAGTAATATAGACTTGGTTAAAATTGACTTTAATAGATTTTAATTTAAAAGATTCTGAAAACTGTCGTTTATTCTGTTTGTAATAAATAATAATGCGCCAAGTATAAAATGGATCAATAAATGTATACTATATATACACATCTTTTTCTCATTTCTTAAAAAAAATGAAATTTACATGTTTTACTATGTTTTATCTTTGTGTCAAAATAACACGTCTTTGTGTTGACTTACTTGACACAGAAGATGTGTTAAAGGAGCAGACACATTATTTTGTGTTAAAATTGACACGTGTTGTCCCTGAGCAGATACAGCACATGTGTTAAAATCTAACACGGTGTGAGATTTTTTAACACACCCCAAAAAGGGTATAAACTCGCCATTGTATCGGGTCAGTAGAGATAAATGATCACGATGCGTTTTTATTGCTTTTAATAATCACGTTGTTGTTCAGACCCCACGTCACCGTGACCTGTTTATATTCCGCGTCTCGCCGCTAGGCGGCCCGGCGCAGGCTCGCTGTGGGCAGAGAGCGGGCAGACAGGGAGGATGCGGAGGCCTGCCAGTCCCACAACAACAACACATCTATCATCCACCCGGGGCGACTAGGCCGGTCCGGGCTATGGCTGCACCTATTGCACATTTCGACGACGACTGGCCGAACCTGGGTGATCCGAGCATGGTGTCACAGGAAGGGCTGCTGCCGCAGAAAGGCCGTGTCGCCGCCGCCGCCGCGAGCGAAGCGGCGCCCGAGTCGCTCCTGTTTGGCGGTGATGATGATGATGATCTGCACGACAGCAGCTTCTCCCCTAGAGAGAACGCGGGGTTCCGGTCCATGGAGGATCTGGTGAACGATTTCGATGAGAAGTTAACCACGTGCTTCCAAAATTTTGACGCCAAGACGGAGAGCATCGCTCCCGTGGCCGTGATCGCCGAGGACACGCTGCTGGAGAAAGACGAGTGAGTCCACGGCCTGTCTACGGCAGGCTGCGTGTTTCCCATCCAGTGTGCATGTGGAGGCTCCAATACAGTTTAAAAAACACGGAAAGACATGTTGGGAACATTTAAAATAGGAAGTAAAGGCATCGACACATCACCTGTTATCAAGATATTCAAACTGAGTAAACTTTAGTTCAGATTAATCTTATGTGCCCTATATTAAAGATCGATATTGGCCGATACTCACAGTTGTTTTATTTTTAACCCATTTCTAAAATCAACATCTTTGTGATATTTTTAAGAGATACATTTGTTGCAAAATAACTGCGATATTATATTTAAAGCTGGTTAAAATAATTTTTTAAGTAGCCTATGTAATAATAATAATTTCATATCAGGGTAGGCTGCTGGTTGTTTAAAAAGTCACCTTGGGCATTTTTACCACATTTAGAAGTTGGGGATTGTTTTAAAGTGTTCATTCCAAAAACATTTACAGTTTCCCAACCTATTCACAAACTGAAAGGAAAAATCAACATTTTTAGTTTCACACTAGACTTAATCCATGTCTGGGAAACTGAGCCTTAAAGTGTTAAATTGAAAAGAAATGGGAGGTCAAGGGTGGAAAAATCCTCAACAAATCCTAAATAGGAAACATGAAACTTGGCTTAAGTGCTCCATCAGGAGGCATGATGCTTCAGCTCTGGGTGTAAGTGGCGCTTTTTAAACGTCATCATCTGTGGTATTTTCAACCTGATAAGCTGTGTAGGGGATTATACTTTTAACCTAAGCATCAGACCTGCTTAATCTGATTGTTATGTTTTTAGATGCAGCATTAAAAAAAGTATTTCTGTGGTGCACACAGTCAGTACCAACATCCTTGCTGATAACGTAGGTTTGGTTTTTAGTAAAAAAATGTATCGCTAAAGGGGAATTCCAGGAATGCTGTGATTATCTCAAGTGCTGCAAACAGGAGAACTGTTGCTTTTGTTGGTAAAGATTAAAAATGAGAAAATAATCTTTAAAAATGCAAAGAAAAGATGAAGTCCATCCTGATATGTACCTCAAGAAGATATAGTTTCAGTCTCAAACTATAAATAGCCTCATTCTTTTTGCAGTTCATTTGTTTATTTTGATTGATCTCAACCTTGACATAGTTTGTAACACAGATGCTAAGATATTTACAGTCATCAGATCCCATTGGAAACATGTTCAGGCAAATGAAATCTGCAGGACAGCCTTTTAAAGACTATGTGGTTGAAAGTCTCGTGTCCCCTCAGAATCTGGAACACTCTGACGGCTAACTACGGACATGTGATGCCGGTGGACTGGAAACGTTCTCGAACGCGCTCCCTCCACGTTCCCACAATCAACCTGGAGGAGAAACCTGTGAGTGATCCCACTTCTTCCGGCCCATCCTATCTCTGTCTCATTTTTCCCTTCATCCCACCACCCGGCTCCCCTCCCTCCAATGCCAAATCCCTCCTCCGGTCATCTCGCAAATCTCAAATATTCATTGTGCCAGGGTTTAGTGCTTTGATTAAATTCCCTCCTCCTGCTCTGTTCCTGGTTAGAGAAAGGCAGATGTCGCGTTGGAGCTGTCTGACGATGAGGAGCTCAGGGATCAGCTAGACATGCACTCCATCATTGTTTCCTGCATCGCAGAGGAGCCCCTTTTCACAGCAGAGCAGGTACGTTACACAGCCCTGTCAGAATCCAGCATAGTTCACCCCAGAAGCAGCCACACTGGGTCAAGCCTGTATAGGCAGAGCTTAACATGGCTGAAATCTTTTCCACAGATGTTTAATAACTCGTGCTCGATGGGTTATTTTAAGAGCTGGCTCTTTGATGCAGGTTATTGAGGAGATAGAGGAAATGATGCAGGACTCTCCTGACATGGAGGCAGAGCATAATCCGTCACAGTCGGACCTGTCGATGCTCTCTGTGGACGTTCAGCAGCCCAACAGCTGCCCTGACTACGAGGAGAGTGAGTGTCTGCTGATCAGAACAGTGTGTTATGATGAGTTATTTTGTTGCATATTATATTAGTAATTTATGGGAATATGCTTTGGTGGTCCAGGGATGAAAGCCTTGAGCATTGCAGAGCTGAATGAGCGTCTGGAGGAGACTGAAATGAAGATCAGGAGGTTTTCAGAGGAGCTGGTTCAGCAGCTGGCTCTCAGGGATGAGCTGGACTTTGAGAAAGAGGTGAAGAACAGTTTCATCTCAGCCCTCATCGACGTGCAGAACCGGCAGAAGGAGTACCGCGAGGCGCTCAAGAAGAAGAAGAAGCTTAAAGGTGGAGCTGGGACATCGCAAGGTCTTCCGGAGAAAACATCTGTGAGTACTTTAACTTTACAGCCAGGTTTTAAGGAATTCTCACCAGGCCTGAGGTGTTGCTAGAGTGAAAGAGATCTTTCTTTTCTAGTGTCTGCTACATTTACTGTATCTTTTTTTCCCTTTGTTTTTCTTCCTTTCTTGTCAGCGCTTCAGCATGGAGGGGATCTCCTCTGTTATCCAAAACAGTTTCCGTCAAACTTTTGGGAGCGGGTGCAGTGAGAGACAGGTTACTGTGCTTTTCCTTTTCTCTGTGCTTTCCATCTGCTCTCGAATGGTGATGCCAAACCTAGGTTCCCACCTGCAGTTTATCTTTGGGTGTACCTACGTTGGGTATAAAGTATGTGGACAGAATAGCTCTAGTGAAAGTAGTTCAAATCCAGTTTGAAATGAGCTCAAAGGAACGTGTTTGAATAAGAGAGGTGTTGTTGAACAAGGGTTCTTGAGTTTATCTGACAAGTGCTACGTCAGAAAAATAAGCGTTGGGAACCACCCTAAAACACAAACGTCCATTCTACTCCGCAATCTCAAAACTATTAGTAAGATCAGACACTTCAGTTCAGGCTTAACGTGTTGTTTTCTTTAATATCAGTGTGTTTTCTCAATTGTTTTACAGTATTTGACCACAGTCATCCCTTACGAGAAGAAGGGACATCCTCCTTCGATTGAAGACCTCCAGATATTGACCAAGAGTAAGTTGCTTCACCTGCACTGTGCAGTTTGTTGCAGTTGACTTACTAACTCTGATTCATTCAATTCCCAGTTCTGCAAGCTATGAGAGATGATAGTGACAAGGTGCCCAGCCTCTTAACAGACTACATTCTCAAAGGTGAGCTTTTCTCTTGTGTTGTTACACAGGGTGCTTTGCATTTGAAGTAAAATAACATCACAGAGAGACTCCCAACAATCCCGTGTTGGCAGTATGTCTGCATATGTCATCCTTGTTCCACATAACCCAAAAGATCAATAGCAGTCAATTATTACTGTGCTGATGATGTAAGCTCAAAGGGACGCGGCAGCGGTTATATATGCTGCAACCATATGTTGTAAATCATTGATGCTCAAATTCGTTTGATTTCAGTTCATTACAAAATCCTCTGAAAGCTTCAACGTGAGTTTTTAACTCCAAGCTAGACTGTGAGAGTTTTCCTGCATCTAAACAAGCCTTTAGGGGGTGACTTTGGCCTGTGTACAGTGATGAAAACGGGTCTTCTCTATTACCCCATTAAAGCATCGTCCCCTTATGTGTCACCTTTTGATATGCCTGTTGTGGAGTTGGCTTAAAGTTTTTCGGAGACGTAATAAAACCTGATTGTGTAAAAGTCCAAATTTAACATCTGGTTTCTTGCTGGTAAATCTTCATTAAGTATTTTGAACACACCAGCAGATCCTTCAAAATCACTTTCAGACTGTAATGAAATCAGCAATAAATTTGGAAAATTACTTTTGGTACCACTTTATAATAGGGTCTGAACTAAGGGTGTAATTCAACCGGAATTTACTGGAATTAATATAATTTAGTCTGAAATTACAGTGTGATTATGTTAATCTACACATACTTATGGGTGAATGAACTACAATAAGGAGTGTATCAACAGAGTATAAGTAGTCAAGTTTTTACTGGAAAAATGTTTTACTGCAAGTAATTTCATTGTAATTTTACAGGAGAAAACACATTATATAGGAAGTAAGAAAAATTATATAGTAAGTACATAGTAACTCATTTTAAGTAGTGCGTGAATTACTTGAAGTAGTGCAAAATTCATTGTAAGAGGTGTATTACTTCCAGGTAAGTTTGCGGAAGAGTGTAGTGTAGTGGCTTTTGTGTAGAAAACACAAAATAAACCAAAGATATGACTGAAATGTACAAATGAAAAACAAACCTAAAAGTATTCATAGCTAAAAACCCCAGTTTATTCTTGTTGTGGATATGCATTAAAATGATTCTATTAGTCTTTTTTCACTCATATTAATCAGGTTTTTTACCCCTCAGTCATAAAAGGCTAATGGGGTTAAATGCTGATGTCATCCACCCACAGTAGTTATTTCTTGCTTCACCCTGCCCGGTGGATGGGTGGGTGGCATGAAGTCTGTAAATGCAATAATCACTGACTCATCACTATACGACTTCACGGGCCTTGATGGACGTCCTGCGATGTTTGGTGGAGTTTGTTTTTTCTTGTAATGTTATATAACAGGGCAGGTGAATAGTGGAACATCCATAAAGCAAAAAGACGAGTTCAGTGCACCACTGCTTACAGTTACTTACACACTATTTAAAATTGCTCTCAGTATAATTTGAGTCTCCTTTCCTGTAAAAACCTGAACTGTTACCCTTTTATTCTGCACTGTGTACTGGATAAGGATTCGTAGGTAAATATAATTACATTGTAATTTCAAATAAAATACACTGAAATCCCATTTAATTTTTGGTGAATTACACCCTTAGCAATGGGTCATATTTTAAAAATGCTACTTAAATTGCACATGATGTTTACCGAGTACAGAACTTTAGTATCTTTAAATATTTGCAGTCTGTCCTTTTGACTGTGTCGTCCACATTTCACTTTCTGTTTCATGTCTTTATTTTTTCTTCCTGTATTTCTTTTGTGCTATTCTTCAAAACAAATCGCTGCCCCACACTCGTAGCTCTGGTGTGAGCCCTGGATGGAGAGGTTTGTGACAGTTCGATTATGAATGTTGTGGTGGTGTTACTCATAATGAGAGAGCGCCTCCTCTTGACCACTGAACTGTAGTGCAGAATGACCCCGATGCTTTCCCTCGCACTTCCCCTCTCTCCTGCACGGTTGTTAGTGTCCAGACCTGCAGACTGTGACTCACAACCACTCACATAGAGATCTGTTTACCTAGCACTTAATATATGAGACACTGCTATAAGGATTAATAGTTATTAATCACAGCTAAGGCTGTATTTGAATCACTCGACCTGCACCAGAAATAGGTTTAGTTGCTCTTGTACATCCTTTTGTTTTTCCTCATCTTTATCTCCTGGATTGTAATTAATGCCTTATACTGAGGCTGTGTCAGCGGCTCCATCGCAGCTTTGTTAATATTGATCTCTGCTGTTGTTCCAGTGGTTTGCCCGACATAGACGAGAGGGAGGCTCTGCAAAGATTGTTAAGCGTGATGAAAAGAAGAAGAGGACTCATTGTTTTGTTTTTTTGCAAACATGAAGCACACTTAATTTATTCCTGGATGTTTTTACCTTTGTGTGTCCAATTTTTTTCCCCTGGATTTTCATTAAGTTGTATTTATTTTGTACAAGCACTATGATTTCAAAGCGTGTGTATTCTTGTGAATTTTTGTTTTTAATTGTCTCGCAGGGTGATAGTGTATCCTAAGTTAGTAAATTATATAAGAAATGTAGACTGGCCGTGCACTGAGCTTTGCTTATTGATTAGAGCAAAGCTGCACCGCGGTCGGCTTTGTGTTTATCGGAAGTGCTGAGCTGTACACGGAGCGGAGAACGCGATGCACAAAGCGCTCTGATACAGATGTTGCAGTGATAGAGGATCGTAATAGTGAATGTTAGCAAGCTTCTAAACTGATAAGCTTACACAGAAAATAACTTAAGAATTTTAAAAAAGAGGAGAGTGAACCACAAGATAGTATTTATTACAGTAGCACCTGAAACAGATGAGAGAGCTCTAAGGGAACAAGATACAAATAATTAAATGCAAAATGATGAAGATTACTCAGATTATCTGAAACCTGTGTTTATAAACACAAAACTATCATATAGTTCAGTTTTCCATGTAGCCGCAGACAGAGGGGAGCCATCTGCTTTCACTGCAAACATGATTGTTATAATTTCATAGAAGATGACGTACTGTATTGATGGCTGAGGTGATTTAGTCTGGACTGATATTTACTGATTAACTTACTAACTATGCATTTGAGTGAATTGTGACCCACGCACTGTCTGTACTCTTGCCTCTGTGCATGGGGCGGCGTACACTACCAATGGGCATTGCTGTTCTCTATGTATTACTTTATACAAGCTGCCTTTGCCTTTGGCTGAACTTTTGTACATTATAAATGACTTATTTTCATTGAATGTCATGTTACTAAACCACAGAACCCGCTTCCATGTTTATTTATTTTGTAAATATTTTCTTGATAAAATATTGATGATATTGATAAAATCGCATCGTGTCGTTTCTTAATTTCAAACAATGCTCGCTATATCTTGATGCATGCTCAATTATCCAGGTAAGGAAATCCCACTGAAACGCTACGTTCATAAGGACAGGATCAACTTTTTGGGAATGCTCACTATAGTGACAATAAGCACCAGCACTTCTACCTCAAACAGCATCACCGAGAAATATATGCGCCTTGATTTTCAGTCAGTGGTTTGCAACAAAAATACAAAATGCAAGTAAAATGTACAAAATACTATAGATAGATGGCCTAAACACCCATATCCCCTTTATTTAATATCTTGCTATGCTTAAGGGGTCCGTGTCTGACAATTTTGTCAAAAATATGCACATAAATAACCTGCAGTGCTCATCCTGTTCCACCTCACACAAATGAACACATACCCATCCTGCTACTGAATTGATGCCATCCTGGAGAAGCTGCATCTGTGCAGCTTGAATTGGCTGGAGGAGAACAAACAAACTGCAACTGTAGAGAAAAATCAGTCAGCCGGGATACGGAGGGAGGAATGGGCTGCATTTCTCTCTCCACTGCCTGCAAACTGTTCCCTTTTTGGGGGAGGACTACTTGTTGCCTCTCCAGCATATGTGCTGCCATTTTCAACAACGGGGGATTTAGGTTTGTTTTGTGGCTACAGGACCTGGGCACCTTCCAGTCATTGAGTCAACCATGAATTTGTCGGTATGCCAAAGAACTTGTCAAATATGAGCTTAAGCTGTCTGTCTGACACCTAAAGCTTGGATAGAACAGTCATACAACAGGACAATGATCGCAGCACATCAGCAAATCTACAACAGATTATCTGAACGAGAAATGAATCAGCATGTTGCAGTGGTCCAGCCAATTCCAGACCTCAGCCTGAATAATGAGCTTGTAAACCTGAATGAACTGAAGCAACACTGTAAAGAAGAATGGACAAAAAAATCCTCCACAACTTGAGAGTCTGATTAAGTCATACAGAGTACAATTACTTCAAGTTAGTGTTGCCAGAGGTGGTTAAATCGTGGGATTTTTCCACACTGCCTCTGGTGTAATATGTCATGTGTTGCTGTTCATCCGAGTTTGCATTTTCATTATTTTTAAGGACTGTACACGTGAGAATGATAATTCTGTTTGCTTGCGTTTGCCAGGCTCTGTGAAATGTGGCTCTGTGGATAGTGACTGGTTGGAGTCTTGGCCAGTCTTCCCTTTCATTGCTGGCTGATGGTCAGTAAAACTCTATGGGCTTCCAGAAACATTTTAAAGTCAATTTCACAATAGTGAAATTACTTATTACACAAGTCTCTGCCACATGTCAGCTACACACCCTCCAGCTCATTAAGGCGATCCAGATGTAAGCTGTGGACCCCCCCCCAAAAAAAATCCAACCTTTGGCCCTTAAAAGAAATACAGCTGGCTCTGTGACAGGAAAACAAGAGATTAGATCGACAGTTCAAAAAACTAAGATAAAAGCCTTTTCATGTGTTCGTCATTTTAATAGTTGTTGCCGTTAAACAAAAACCGATGCAGGTAATTGACAAAATAGCTTCATCAACATGCCGATCCTGTTAAATTCTATTAATATAATAAATGACTGCACACTCAAAAAGACAAAAGGATATCTGTAATTTATTGGTGTCTTAAAAACATATGGAAAAACCAGCCATGCTTGTCTGAACACTGTTAAATACAAAAAGCTGCTCCCCATCCATCTCGCCTCAGCCTTTCAAAAGCAACACAAACCTCTGTCAAACATCTGTAAAACATTTGTTCTCTCTCAGATAAGATTTCCTCACTCCGCTCTGTGCCTCCAGCCCGAGTGTGTAAAACGCCACAGTCTGGCCAGCGCTCAGAAGCTGTGCTGCACCAAAACAGGCTCCCTGCATTGGATTTAAGGTATTTTTTCCAGGTATGATGGATGCTAGAGGACTTTGGATGGTGCTCTGCCTTCTCTTGTTGGCACACGGCTCACCCCAGCAGAACTCGAAGAAAAGAAATGGCAAAAAAGGTAGGACTTCATATTCACCAGCTGAATATAAAATCAGTGGCTTCTACAGGACAGTATTGTTAGAGTTCACCTTGTTTTTTTGTTTGTTTGTTTCGGTAATTTTGTGCAGAATCTGCCATTAACTCTACAATCGAGAATCTGCAGAGGCAAATTGATGACATTACTCGGGATCTGACCGTGCTAAAAGAGCAGCAAGCTTTACAAACAGGTGTAGACTTCTTCACAAACACCATGCAGTTAGATTTTTTGTAAAGAATGCCCCAAAGTTGCACAATCCACTCAAGTATTTGCTTCAGTTTGCAGGCTGCATGTCATTTTCTAGTTAAACAGCTTTCTAGAGATGGAGAGCTGAAACAGATCCAGGGCTTTTGAACCACTTCCTCATAATTCCCTCTCTATCAGTTTGTCTAAAGGGCACAAAGATCCACAGAAAGTGTTTTCTGGCCAATCTGGTGAAACAATCCTTCCATGCCGCCAGTGAAGACTGCATCGCCAAAGGAGGCAGCCTAAGCACTCCTCTAACAGGAGACGAAAACGACCATCTCTACAGCTACGTACGCCAGAGCATCGGCCCCGATGAGCACATCTGGCTGGGCATTAATGACATGGTTACCGATGGCCACTGGGTTGACCAATCAGGCTCTAATGTGCGCTTCAAAAACTGGGAGACTGAAATCACCCAGCAGCCAGATGGGGGATCCAGCCAGAACTGCGCCGTCCTCTCCATCACGGCCAACGGGAAGTGGTTCGATGAGAACTGCAGGGCTGAGAAGGCGTCTGTGTGCGAGTTCAACATCGTCTGAGAGACCATCTGTTGCTCCGTTTTTCAGTCTCTGACATTGCTTTGTAAGCATGAAGTGCAACATTATGAAATGCGCTGAAAAATAATGCGCTGCATCTTTAATCAGCCTGCATTTTCTCGGCCAAGCCTTCCAGATGTCAGTCCAGAACAGAGATTTCCCTTGGTGCTCTTTGTATAAGCTACACCCACTTGTACATACACTCCATAAACAATGCTTTCAATATTCATTGAGGTAAACACTGGAGGGTTTGTCTTTATTTTTCTCTTATTAGCCGCCAGTTAACATAAAATCTTTTCTTACTGAGTTACTAAGTTCTTTTTACAAAGTGCCTTTTCTGTGCCACCTTCTTTATTTCTAAATGTTAAGTTATGCTTCTCATGTTTTATTACAGGATATTAATGAACATGTTTACCATTTTATTCTTCTCTCTGATGTAAAAACAAACAAACAAACAAACAAACAAACAAACAAACAGCAGCAGATATAATGTGAATGTACTACTCCTCATACAGAAAAAAGCTTTTGTAACAAATCTATTACAACCAAAGGTAATAAATAAAACCTGGGTTATGATTGTTGTCATTTTCACGGTCACATCATAAGATCATACATTCATTTCCTCCATGAATAAACTAAACAAAAACAAAGCATGAGCATAGGGTAGTTTCTCGTTTAGTTCTGGTTTTTAAATAGGTGTGCCAAGTTGACTGATTCATTGTATTGTGCAACTGATTCAGTATGAACGTAAGACTCCCGCCTGTCCAATTTATACTGGAACTAAATCCAGCCTATTCACTAAGAGAGAATGATGAGAGTATGATGAGTACAGTCACGTAACACACACACACACACACACACACACTACATTTTGTGTTTGCATTCAAAGTACTTTACTCACCCAAATGAAGGCGACAGATCAACAAGTCTGAACACTTCCAAACTTCCGGATTTTAAAGGCTCCTCTAAAGTTTCTTTACTCACTGTGAGCCACTGAGACTGTAAAACATTTATGGCCACACTCCGTGGGGAAGAGGAATTTTCAAGACCAAAGTCCTTCTGAAGCACTTTTCCTCAAAGAGGACAGATGCATGCCTTGAAAGAAAACTTTTCTCTTTCATGTTTAGGCTCATGCTAGAATAAGGGACATTTAAACAGCAACATATTACAGCTCACTACTAAATAAATACATTTTATGGCAGATGCAGCTGCTGATATAATGCAAATAAATGTATATTTTTCCTCATTGTAATCCAAACAAAGCTGTGTCTGTCCTCATAACAAATGGTGAAACAGGTTTTTTTAACTACTGATCAGTGCTGATCATGATATACAGTCTCAGTATGAACTAGTAGCACTTTAGGCTCGAGCTTCTCAAATGCTCGGTTTCAGTTTGGCACCGTCCCAGTAACACAAATGACTGAAAACAACTATAAGATCCTTACTAATTTCTAAAGGGAGCCTGACCTATATGTAAGGCTCATTTATGGTGTAATGACACTACAGCTAGAAAACAAAAAGCAACAATGAACAACAGAAGGACATGCTGCTGCAACATACGGCTGCTGCAGTCCAGACCGTTGTGTTCTGATAACGATATAATGTATTTACAAAATATCACAAATGGAAAACGTTCATTTCCTGAAAGCAACAGAAGACCTCTTTATAAAAACTAAAAACCTGTGTAGAAGGAATGATTAAGTGCTGCTTTTGAAAAAGAAGAACCTTAACCTGAGACAAAACGCTGTAACAGCTGCAGACAGGTTTGGAAGCTGTTTGTGTGTGCCTCACTTTAGTGCAAAAGCTGCACTCAACACAAAAAAAGTGTCTTT